ATTGTGACTTAGTCCATCCCGAATGATTATTTTACTGTGTATTTGATAGTTAATTGTTTAATATTATTATATTTTGGTCTAAATTCCATATGTGGCCTTTGTGCCAGCTGTTTGAACCCTTAGGGAATTTTTTAAAATGATATTTTCCTCACTGATTGATTTCATACTGGTGCTCCGTCATACTATATCTTACTATTTTAAAGATTCAGCTATATTATTCTGTTTTAAACACATTAAATGATATTTTCAAAGGTATTTGAGCTGAGCTTCATATTTTACTGTGGCTCGAGGGGCTTATGAGATTCTGACTGAGTAAGGCCGAGGACCTGTGTTGTGAGGATACTTTTGGGTCGGGCTGCACGCCGCAGTAGTGATATACTGATTATGATAATGAGGTCGAGGGCCTGAGATTGTACCCCACGAGGTGGTTTGAGATTGATATGAGGCCGAGAGCATGTTTATGATGCCACGAGATGGCTTGATTATGCACTTGGGCCGTAAGGGGCCCTTCCCGGAGTCTATATACCCCCAGTGAGCACGGCTACCCATTGTGATATGAGATATAGCCCGAGGGGCTTGTATTGTTCTGTGACATTGCCGAGGGGCTGATTTTGTTGTTACCGTGTCTGAGGGGCAGTTATTATGTGTTTACTTTTCTGTTGTTTTTCCTACATATTGTTTAACTGTTTGGAAGATGTTTACGAGATTTCACTGTTTAATTATATATACTGATTTGTTATGCCTCTTTTAGCTTAATGTTGTGCTTTACGTGATTTTATATTACTCAGTCTTCATTTATTTTATTACTGACTGAGTTGGAGTACTCACTTTACTCCTTGCACCCCTGTGTGCAGATTCGGGCGCTACAGGTTCTGCTCGTGAGGGTTGATAGTTCCAGCAGGTCTTCGGAGATTTACTAGGTAGCTGCTTGGCGATTCGCAGCCCTGTGCATTCTTCCTCTATCTTAGCTCTTTTTGATTCAGTCATGTAGTATGGGATTAGACTTCAGACTATTAGTATTGTTTTAGATGCTCATGACTGGTGACACCCTGATGTCGGACTGTGTTGGTTTTAAATTCAGCAACTTATACTGTTATTTTTGGGATTTTATTTCTATTAAAGACCTTGGTTTTATTATTTTAACTACTTAAAGTGAATGGGAAGTATGTCGGCTGGCCTTGTCTTCACGAGAGGCGTCATCATGACCGGGTTTGGGATTAGGGTTGTGACTGTTCCGGAGCGCGGTACAAGTTTGTTATGATATTTAAGTCCTATCTGTGAAATTTGGTGAGAATCGGAATTTATATGACTTGATTTGGACGTCCGTTTGAAAAGTTAGAAAATCATGAGTTTTGAGGTTAAATTCATAGTTTTTTATGTTATTTTGATGATTTGTTCGCACAAGCAAGTCCGTATGATGTTTTTAGACTTGCGTGCATGTTTGGTTTGGAGCCTCGAGGGCTGGGGTGAGTTTCAGATAGGTTTAGGCTATGTTGTGCTTGTTTTTGGATGCTTCATCGTCATTTCTTCAAGTAAAAATGATACCACATTGAGAAAATGAGATCCTAATTCAGTTTTTATTGAACCATTAGATCTGTATCGAAAATATGGAGCCATAGAAAAAAGAATCATCGAATTTGGATATCGTATGAGGAAGTTATGCTCATTTTCGTGTCGGGAAAAATTGTTGGTTTCTAGTGTGGTCGCAAATGCGAACTTTTTCATCGCAATTGCGATGCCCTATTCGCAAATGCGAACTTTTTGTCACAAATGCGACTTCTGCCAGCCCTGCCTTGTTCGCAATTGCGAACCCTGGGTCGCAAATGCGACATCTGAGGCTTGCTAAGTGAGATTTTTGACGGGATTTTCACCCATTTTTCAATTTTCTCAAACCCTAAACCTCCATAGCGATTTTTCCAAAGACCCAAACTTCTCCAAATCATTGGGTAAGTGTCTCTAATCAACTTCCAACTATATTTTGTGATTATATCTTAGATTTAACATCAAATTCATGAGAATCTAAAGGAAAATTTGGGAAAAATTGTGAAATCTTTCAAAAATGTAAAATGATGATTTGAATGACCAAATGGTATCGGAATTAGATTATTTTTGTATGGGTGAACTCGTAGAGGAATGGGTATTCGATTTTTGTAAATTTTGTTGGGTTCCGAGGCGCGGGTCCAGGGAGTTGACTTTTATTGACTTTTTGCAAATTGTATAAGAATCATAATTTTGTTCATTGGAATTGTTTTCACTAGCATTGTTTGATGTATTCAAGTCGTTTTTGGATAGATTGAGCCGAGCGTTGATGAATTGGTAAAGTAAAAGCTAAATTGAGTATTGAATTTGCCGGATTGAGGTAAGTATCTTGCCTAACCTTGTGTTGGGAACTTCCCTTAGGAGTTGAGTCTTCTATGCTATTTGTAGTCCGTGCACGCGAGGTGACGAGTGTGTGCTCGGACTTATTTGTGGAAAAATTTTCCTTTAGGGTTCTTAGGTCCTTATGTTCATTATGTGGGAAGTATTCCGTTATGATTGAGTTTCCTAATTGCTTAACTTACCTCTATATGCTCCATACGATGTTGTTAGCTTTTCTCTAACTCTTACTTATTACTTGCCCCTTATTTGCCTTAATTGAAGTGATTGTTCTCCTTATTGTTTCGCTATCTCTTAATTGTGAATTCCTCTATGACCCCGTGTATATATGCCATGTGTCCAAATTGTTGTGGTTGCCGGTGTAGTTATCACGTGCTTATTATGTCTTGTTATTTTGTTAAGGTTATTGCGCTTCTTGGTTTTTCCGTAGGTCTTACATTGTGACTGTTGTGCTTCTTATTATGTACTATTTATGCTTAAATTGATGATTATTCATGTTGGACAAGACTTATGGTATTTTCTTGGTATTTGACCATTGTTGAGTATTGACTCAAGTTGGGATTTATTTTGTGAGGGTAATTGTTGGAACAAGATTGGTTATAGCTGATTCCCTTGCCGGGTGTATTTGTTTCTATTGTTGATTCCCTTGCTGGGATGTATTTGTTTCTATCATTGATTTCCTTGCCGGGATGTTATTGTTTCTGCTGTTTGGGTGAGGAAAGAGTGATAAAGCACGAAGGGTGATGCCGTGCACATTTACATTATATTGATGCATATGGTGAGGAAGAGTGATAAAGCACGAAGGGTGATGCCGTGCACATTTATATTTATATTGATGCATATGGTGAGGAAGAGAGATAAAGCACGAAGGGTGATGCCGTGCAAATTTATATTATTCATATGGTGAGGAAGAGTGATCAAGCACGAAGGGTGATGTCGTGCACATTTACATTTATATTGATGCATATGGTGAGGAAGAGAGATAAAGCACGAAGGGTGATGCTGTGCATATTTATATTATTCATATGGTGAGGAAGAGTGATAAAGCATGAAGGGTGATTCCGTGCACATTTCTATGATTGATTGCATGGTGAGGATTGAGGGTTAAAGCACGAAGGGTGATGCTGTGCACTTTCTGTTTGCTGTATTTATTTGTTGTTATCAATTCAAGTGTTTTAACTGTTTAGATTCCTTTACTGTTGTGATCCCTTGTGTTGGAACCCATAATGTTTTCAATACCTCGCCGTATTTATCTATATATATTTCAATACTTCAAATTTCAATAATTGTTACATTTTTAATTCAATTAGTTTCTCAATTAAATTCCATTAAACCGTCTGAGGTTGTATTTTACTTAAAAAGGAATTTCTACTAAGTTGTAATTTATTAAATCGCATGTTAAAGGTAATAATTCATTCGATGTTGTATTTTAGTTGAAAATGGTACTTTCTTATTCAAATGATTTCTAAAAATAGCTTCATCTTTTCTTGCTGAGTTCCTAATTGGTTTGGAAGTTGTACTCTACTTTATGTTATGTAAATGTGACTCCTTGAACATCTTAATTGTATTGCTTATGGACCCTATGTACTGAGTAATATGAGAACGTTGTTGTGCAAAGTGAGATAGAAGTACGTGGGCACAAGGTTCCGGGTGTGCTAAAAGTTTGGTAATTGAGGTTATGATATAAGACATCGAGTTTGAGATGGCTGGAATTGTGCATCAGAAATGATATGATTTATTGAGCAGACATCGCCTTCCTTATTTGAGTACATTTTTACTTGTCTGTGCTCCAGCTAGGTTGGTGTTAATTTACTTGGTTATCTTTCGTTTCCATCCGTGTTTCCCTTTATTGTTTCTACTGATTGTAGTTTGTTCTCTCCCTGTTGTTGATATTACTTTGTTATCTTTATGTTAATAGCTTATTATCATATCATGTTCAATTTATTTGACCAGTAGGTGTATGACCTGTTCCTCGTCACTACTCCACCGAGGTTAGTCTTGATACTTACTGGGCACCGCTGTGGTGTGATCATACTACACTTCTGTACATTTTTGTGTACAGATCGAGGTATTCGATCGATTGTAGCTGAGCGGGTCGTTGGTAGAGACTCAAGGTAAACCTGTTGTAGTGTTCGCAGGTCTCGGAGTCACCTTCAATTGTACTTATTTCCATATGTTCCTTTTGTTTCGGAACAATGATGTATTTGTTTTTTATAACTACTCTTAGAAAGGCTTATGACTTGTACCACCGGTTTTGGGAATTGTAATTTGTTCAGAGTAATTTAATTTAAAGTTAGTAAATATCAATGTTATTTCAGTTAATGTTAGGCTTACCTAGTTTAGAGACTAGGTGCCATCACGACTCTTTCGCTGGAATTTTTGGGTCGTGAACAAGTTGGTATCAGAGCTCTAGGTTCATAGGTGCTACGAGTCATAAGCAGTTTTAGTAGAGTCTTGCGGATTGGTACGGAGACGTCTGTACTTATCTTCGAGAGGCTACAGAACTATTAGGATAATCTCACATTCTTTCATTCCTTATCGTGCGATATTCATTCAGCTCGAAGCATATAACTTATGTTCCTTTACATCCACTCGTGTGTAATATTACACTCTCGGTGTCCGCTATGCGGCAGTGGTTTGTGATGCTACAGACAGGTTACGAGGGAGTCGGGGATGCTCAGACTTTTTCTCAACGTGTCATCCAGACTGGAGATACAGAGGTATTGAGAGATTATTCAATTGTTTATATGGAGGCGCAGCGGAAGCGTGGTGGGTGTTGATTGAGGATAGTTGGCAGTATTGGAGTACCTTGTGATTTGTGTTGTACGAGCTGTGAAGGTTAGTTCTGCGGATCATTAGACGTTGTTTTCTGTGGCTTTGCGCCAAGTGGAGGAGTCCATCAGCGGCATTCGGATTGCATAGTCATACTTACGTCAGTTTTGGCCTGAGGTATATGTATATGTGGTATTGGTAGGTTCCCAGAATTTGTATATGACTAAGGTCTGAGATCTTGTACGGGACGATGTTGGGACTTTGACTGGGATTATTGCATATCGACTATCCGAAGAAATGGGTCAGCTCTGTGGTATTGGGTGAGCATAGCGATGAAGTAATTGGTCCTTTGAATAGGAAATCTCTACTGGCATTTGTGGCAGCACTCTTGTATTGGACGGTTTGTGTGACTCGGTCGAGTTGGGGAGGTGCAGTCCTGATGGCTTAGTTGCGTGCAGGCGGATCTCGGAAGGGTCTCGATGGTTCGACAAAGGCTTGAGTTGGCTGTCTACTATGGGCGTAAGGAATATGTGGTACATTATGACTTTCTCCTGAATAGGTATCTGAAATTAATAGAGTGTTGACCTTGTTGGCTATCATATGTGAAGGGTGTGCATTTTTGGAAGGGACGTTGAGTTTTGGTTTGCGGGTGCATGGCTAGTAGCATGGTGATTATTGGGTTTTGAGGCTTTCGGGGTTGTTTGTTACGCGGCCAGAAATCCTATATGGGTGTTTCAGTAGAATAATAGGGTGTGAGTGATATATCAATCATTTGATTTGCGTAGTTGAGTTGGGTATAGAAATTTCGGTATTCTTGAGGTTTGGGGCTAGATGCCCTCATGAATGGACTATTTCTTGTTCGCGGATCTTGAAGAAATGTTGATTTGGCCAGCAAACTCTTTAGATTTGCCACCTATTTTAATGACTAATGAGTCATTGCTTGGGCTGCCACGTTAGGCACCTTAAGCTTATCCAAAATTATTATTAATTAATCACTAATCTCTTGATTAACTTGATAATCTTCTACTATCCAATAATTAACCAATAACCCACATAATTAATAATTCTCTCAAATTACTTAAAATACTACTCACTTTTAACACACTTTATACATCTTACTATCATAGTCATGTGGTACCTTGTATGGCACCGGTCCATAAATACGGGGTATTATAGCTTGGACCGTATTTATCTCAAAATGACAACCTTCGACGAAATTCATTTTCTTAGATTTGCTTACCCTCTCACCTTCACGAATTTACTCATCACTTGTTTGAAATAGCGTAATGCTTATAATCTCAAAATAATCTCATTCCCGAACTTACGTCGATCAACTTACGACGAAACATTAACATACGAAAATTCGGGGCATAACATCTCATTTCCGAGCTTTCATCAATTTACTTATGGCGTACTTTTACGTACGAAAATATGGGGTGTAACATCATTCCCCCCTTGGAACATTTGTCCTCGAATGTTGACTTATGCGCTTATCATTATCATAACCTATAGCTCTTGCGAATACTTTAGTACTCTCCTTGCCATCTAGGAAATTGTTCTGTGAATAAATCCAAAGGTCAGGGCATTCCCCAGTTTAGGCCTCTTTCTCACACCATGATTTGTGGTAGGAATTCATCCAATCTCGTAACTATTGCTACCTTCAATCATGCAGTATGTATGTCTTTGTCCTTGTATGTGCGCCTATACGACTCTTCTCTCCTCTTTCCTCCAGTTTTTAGCCAATCTTTAGGCCTCACTTTGTGAACATATACAGACGTTGACAAGGTGTCACTCTGGGCATCTATAGGTATGCTGAAGTTCATCGCTCGGTACTTTGTCGAACTTACGAATATTGCTATATCTTATTTCATAGATCCGTTCATCCATCTGTATGACTTTACCGCCATAGCTCTTACTTTGATTTATTGTTACTGAGGTCTGCTACCAAGCTCTCCTATATGCATAAATCTAAGTCCTTTAATGCTTCTTCATTACTGTTCCTCTTAAGAATGATCGTCTAATCTCATCTCATACTTTGTAACTTTTATCCATCCATTATTGATTCACCTTAATGTTGATAATCTACCGCTGATAACTTGACCTCTTATGTAACACTGCCGCTAGGGCTCCGTCTCATCGAAAAACATCTGAAATGATTAGACTGATCAACCTGGGGGCGATACCATGCTTCCATAACCGATTTCATAGTATCCCAATGTGATTCACCTTACGTGGGTATTTTAATCCTGTATAATTCATTAAATCATTACTCAATCGAAGGCCAAAACGTCATACTTTATCTATCACAATTACGCCCTCATTTCACTACCATTCCATCTCTTCTAAATGCTACTAGTCTTAGACTTATTTGAGTTCATTCAGGCTCTACTGAGCTTTTTATAACTTAGAGAAACCATCAACTGTCTTGTTTTTATGGGCTTAATCCCGTGGACTTATCCATTTTCCTCACCTTCTCACTTGCCTTTTCTTTTCCTTACTCTTGTCCTCCTAAAACCTTATCGCTCTACCATACTTTAGCTTGTGACCTACACATATCTATTTATATTACTTGTAACCTTCCTTCAACTTGCTTGCACCATAGATTTCCTTACGTTATTCTGGAACATCAAGTGAGACATTACATTGTCTCTAACTCTTATTTACTCTCTTAACTAGACCTCTCAGTACCTAGAAACCATAGGTTGGAAGATATGCCACCAATGACACCGCTATCATTCCTAGATACTGAATCTCAACGCTTCTAGCCTTCTATCTGAAGTATGGACTATTCATAACCTCCTACACTTGAGTATCTCGTACGTTGTTCGCCATTACCTTACTTACCTTAAAATCTCGCATCACATCTTATATCTCTTTCACGACCTCCCTTCTACATAGGTATAATTCACATCCACAACTTGAAGCTCTATTATAATACTTGCACCTCTGGTGCATACACAATCTGGTAGGAGCTTCATACTGACTTCTTATAAGGCTAGTATCGTAGAGCCGTTATAGAATATGGCTACTGTACTATCTCTCTTGTACCTTTGATATTAAGAGTGATCCTTCAATGTTCTCAATCACGAGGTCTATAATTTTTTGGGTCCAATAATCAGACTCCTGATTTACTTAGTTGATGTAACTCTTTAGTTTTCTCTTCCCTCTAATCAGCCTTTATGTACGCTTACGCTATCTTCCGATCCGCGGCTCAAGGTATTAGTTATTACTTTAGCCCTTCATGGACGTTAAGGAATATCCATGATACAATCTTCTAACAATTCAATCATTTGTTTATGCCCTGGGCTCAATTCGTTATTTTAACTTATACCAGAGTCTTCTACGGTTGTATGATTGTCAACATATATACTGCATGGATAATACTCTGAAATCTTAAGTGCGTACTCAATGTAATTATCTCCGGATCACTGATCGAATAATTCCTTTTGTTCCTTCTCAACTTTCTTTAATTGCAAGCAATTGCTTTTCCTGGTCATTCTGTCACCTTGTTGCGTGCATACTTAGCTTATCTTTGTTCCCACGCATGCCGGAATTTTCGTGCAACTCATATGATCTCGAATATTACTTTTGATTTTACTTCCCGTTCATTAGTCACGGTAGGTGCCACTTTCTTATGGAGTGCATACAATGTTGTTGTGAGACTGTTGTTATAAAACCATTTCCTCTTTAGGTCACTGAGCTTAGGTTGAAGCCTTCTTCCTTATTTTCCTTCGCTAGTCTTTCATTGTAGTACTTAGGGAGGACCCTCTGACTCTTATAAAGCTGTGAGCTTATTACACCATTTGTCGGAAATTTTTTTTCACTTCTTTCAAATTTGAATACCCTTGGGAAAATTCTTAGATTCGCCACTGCTGTACACCTATATATCCAGAGTCTAATTTAGAAAAATGCAAAGGTGAGATGGGATATTGCATGTAGTATATATTAGATAGTGAGAAGATGGAGCAACGTTTAGCCACACAAAAAATTGAAATAGACCATTCGAATGAAACCAAAAGGCAAAAGTTGTGAATAATGCATTTCTGTTGCTAGTGCTGGTTTACTAAGAGACCAATATCTTTCCTGATTGGGACTTCTTTTATTAACTTTTTTGGAACAAATCAAAAGAGTACATTTTGCCGAATTAGAAAGTTTTGGGCCCCAAAGATGTATGGATTTGACAACATTCATATGTTATTGCCAAGTACACTTGCATTATATTCGTACTTTTGTCACTTGAAGGGCATGATAGTTTTAGGGATAATAATTGTTTGGTTTTATTAATTACTTTTTTTATTTGATACTATAAACTATACATTAATTATATATAATTATATATATATTTGCTGATTATTTTTAATTTAAGCGGTTGGTTAGACAACTACTTATATTATCTTTTCATTGTTTTTAACTCATGATATACACTAATTCTGATAACCATAAGCAAATAATAAGTGAACAATGGATTTAAAAATAAAGTTTTTTTGCTAATTTTGTACATAATAATTTATTCAAATGTAATTTTAATTCCTTTATATAGCCAAGCATCACTTAATTAGACTGATTATTTTTGCAAATTATGAAGTTGGTACCATTTCTGCAGCGAAGAGAAAAAGTTTTCTTTTTTGGGTTTCTCATCCGGTGTCCGGTACTCGCATTGGGGCCGGACAAAAATCAGATTTGAGCCGGTAATTCTCACATTGGAGGGTAAAGCACCCCCTAATAAAGGTGATTCCATATAAAATGCTCAAACCCGAAATCTCTGGTTAAGGATAAAGGAGTCCTTACTATTTCACGGCAACTCTCGTTGGTCAAGAGAAAAGGTTGAGCTACAAAGTTGAAGCATTAATAGTTTTCTAGATTTGCTTGTTCTTTTTTTCTTGGGCTAAGATGCAATATTTCTTATTCCATGTTTACTGGAATTAAAAAAAAAAAAGCCACAACTAGAATAAAGCAATATTTGAAAAAGATATTTTATGATAGGTCTAACACCGTTTCAATGCGATTATGAAACGTGTATCGTAATTGTATTTCTGAAAAGGATAAGTTATTTACATTTCACTGCCAAGTGCCAATACAATAACATAAAATACCAAGTTCTTGTCAATTTCATATATTATTGGTGTTTAATGAATATGGCTGTGAACACTTCATTTTCTTGTCAATTGTCATTTGTTTTGGACTTGTATAGACAACTCTCGAAGTGTCTAGAAAAAAGTTTTTTACACGAATAGGCAGTCAGACTCACTATTTACTTTTTAGCCAATATATATAGATTAGATATAATTATATACATACTAGACAAGAATTATACATATATTATACAATAATCAATGTATAATCTGTGTATATGGATTAAAAAAACCAACAAATATGACCGGTTAATTTTATAGAGATCCCTTAATTTTAATTTAAATGGTTGGGTAAGCAGCTATCAAAAGATGCAATTTGGGCCAAGACCAAGTGGGCATTAAGACTAGTCGTCTTTGGCCAAGTGGGCACTAAGACTAGTAGTTGTTTAGACCATGGGCCTGTAGATAGTTGGTTAACTGCAATGACCAAGGCTTGGGTTTTGCTATTTTTAATGAGAAAATGACATCATATGACAACACACAAGAGAAATTGGCAAATTTATAGCTACATATTAGGTTTGGCAAAAACAGCACCAAATAATTGGCATTATATAGCCAAATCCTAAAAGAACTACACTCTTACCTATTTTCTCTCATGTTTGCTGGCCTCTCCCTCCCTTTTCCCCGTCTTTCTTGTTTAAAAGACCACACGTTCAAATAGTTAGTAAAAGATGGAAAACCTAAAAATATAGTTGCGGCTGTTCCGTCAACTACAACCGTTTCTTGGGAGGCTTTTTTTTCATAAATAAAATAAAGATAAAATGAGTTTGCTCCCCCCCCCCC